AACTAAATTCAAGTGTGGATAGAATAAAAGAATGAATTTTATAAAAATTTTATTTTAAATAATCGAATTTCTGTGAAAATTGTATTATTTATGAAACTAGCATTAATTACATTAACTAAAGAATAAGTCGATAATTATTGGAAAATTATTGAAAATTATTTTGAAAAATTATGAAAATGATAATAAAAATTTATAAAAGTATTGCAAGAGCGGATGTAATAATAAAATTAAATCATGCTTAGAAAATTCCGATATATACCAATTGTACGATATGTCGTATTTGCATCGATGAATATTTGTCATTTATAGAGAATTTCTGATGGCTGTCATAACTTTGCAGACTTCGCTGTTGTCAAAAAGCGAAAAACAATCACAGAGGGAATTGAAAATAAATCTGAAAAATTTATTAATTAAAATGAGAAAAGCAGTTCGTCTCTCTTTATTAAAGAAACAAAAAAAAAATTCGTCTAGGCTACTATTTAATTTGCATTTTCCAATATTATTTGCCAAGCTTCTTGTCACGAGGTTCTGTTATACTTAATTGGAATGCTATCCTGAGCTCTTACTTTGAATAAAGTAAATTCCATTTTAAAGAGAAATTTTTGTTTTTTAATTTACGAATAATTAACCGTCAAAGGAAGAGTCCTTTATGTACAATATTTTTAATTATTCAAAACTATTCATAATTATTGAAGCGATAAATGAGCTTTTAATTAGTCGAATGATCTTAATTAGGTGGACCCATGAATTGCATATTTTTAGGTGTAAAAGGAAATAATCGTAATTATACTATTTTTCCATTTTTTTAATAAAAAAAAAAATTCCTGGTAAATATACAACTTTAAAATGAAAGGAGGACTATTTTTAGATGTGAATTTAGAGCGACATAATTGATATCATTATTTTTTCAGAATAAATTACCCATATTTATTATTCTGTTGCAACTTTTTTCTATATAATAGCATTTTATTGTCCTTTCGACTAGCGGGCTTTTAGTTGCATAATACATCCTCTTTTGCATCAACTAAATTCTTTTATATTTCTGAACAATTTTTAAATAACCGATTTAAAAAATAGGCCAATTTTCTTCCTTTATGGTTAGTTTTCACATTAGTTTTTAGTTCCATATTGCGTCAATAAAACTTGATAAAAATTCGAATTTTAGAGGAAAAAAAAGAATAATAAAAAAGTAGTTGTGATATCAATTTTTTAAAAAAGGTTATTTTTATCTCGTATATTATTTCAATAAAAGAGTTTCTATTTAAAATTTATAGCACCAAGTATTTGATTACAATAACAATCGATAAGTTTAGTTTTCAGTGTTTATTTAAAAAAAAGTATTTTGTTTCTAGCTATTGCTTTTAACTATAAAATATAAATAAAAGAATATAAAAAATGATTTTATCACCCGATTTCTTAATAGCAGTATAAAAAATTAATCAATAGTCACTGATTGTATAAATAAAAGAATAATTTTTCTATGAGTGAAAAAATATTTTCGTTTGTAACTGTTTTTGATTTTAAATAAACTGATTGTGAATTAATCGAAATTCGTTGATATTTTAAAATATACCTGTCGTTTATTTAACAAATTGTAAGTGAATTGTTGGTAAATTTGTTATTTTAAAAAACTACGCCCTCTGACAGTTCAGAAATTTGTACTCAAACCACGCAGCTTTCATTTTCAGAATATAGTTGAGTCTTTACCAATTTTTTTTCACATAATTGGTGTCGTTGAATGTGACAATTTTTTTATAGGACAAAAAAATTTCGATTCGAGGTCAAAGCGTTTTTGAAATATAAAAAGTTTGTAAAAAGACTGTTTAAAAAAAAAAATTTGTTAGTTATATTATCACGTGGCAATAGATCTTAATAATTGAATTTTAAATAAAGAAATCCATAAGTAATTGTATTTTGAATAAAGAAATCAATAAATAATTGAATTTTGAATAAAGAAATATCAATTAATAATCGAATTTTAAATAAAAAAAATATCAATAAATAATTTAATTTTGAATGAAGAAATCAATAAATAATTTAATTTTGAATAAAGAAATGCATAAGTAATTGTATTTTGACTAAAGAAATCAATAAATAATTGAATTTTGAATAAAGAAATCATGTAAATAATTGAATTTAGAATAAATCAAATCAATTACTGCATGACACGAAATAAATTGTACAGAGGATCTAAAAGGGGGAATTCCAGCCAGAACAGATTGACCGAGACAAAGGCGAGATAAAGATAGATAAAATTTTAAATGTATTCACCATACGACGAACCAGTAGACACCCCTTGATTTTCAGGGTTGGACAAATTTCATCAGACAAACACTTGTTGATATTCCATATTCCAATTAGTCCACGCACTGATTCCTTTAGTAACTTATTATTATCACTCAATAGGCAATTCTCGCAAAATTCACACTAAGCAGAAAATAACTTTAGATCATCGATCGAATATAGAAATATAGCGTCTGACTAAAACTGATTTTAACTACTAATTCAGAAATTTACCAGTGTTTAAAAATATATGTAGTCTAGATAAAAATGAATTTAACCACTAATTTATGAATTTATAAGTGTTTAGAAATATTTTGTATATCAATAACTGATTTTAATTACTCACTTCTAAATTACATACATTTAGAATCGTTCTTTAGAGCAAAAAAAATTGTGTTATTTAAAACTGACTTTAACTACTAATTTATAAAATCGACATTTTATAAATATTTTGTCTGACTAAAACTGACATTCACTACTTATTTCTAAAATTCATATTTTGGAAATATTTTGTCTGACTATAAAAGTACTTAGACTGATTTTAACTTTTTAACTACTATAATTAATAATTTACAGGTGTTTGGAAATACTTTGTCTGACTAAAGATGACTTTAACTACTAATTTCAAAAACTCATAAGATTAGAAATATTTTGTCTGACTAAAACTGATTTTAACTACTGTTTTTAAAATTACGTATGTTTAGAAACATATTGTCTGATTAAAAAATGACTTTAAATATTGATTTTAAAATTAAATATGTTTAGAACTGATCTTCAGCGAAAAATAAAATTGTCTGACTAAAAATGACTTTAACTACTGATTTTTACAATTCATATGTTTAGAAAAATTTTGCCTGATTGAAACTGGGTTTAACTACTAATTTATATATTTACAATTGTTTAGAAATGTTTTGTCTGACTAAAACTGGTTTTAACTACTAATTCATAAATTTATTACTGTTTAGAAATATTTTGTCTTGTTAAAACTGACTTTAACTACTGATTTTAAAATTACGTATGTTTAGAAATTTATTGTCTGACGAAAAATGACTTTAACCACTAATTTTAAAATTAAATATATTTAGAACTGTTCTTCAGAGTAAAATAAAATGGTCTGACTAAAAATGACTGCAACTACTGATTTCTAAAATTCATATGATTAGAAATATTGTTACTTGATAGAAACTGATTTTAAATACCTAGTAATTTATAAATTTACAGGTGTTTAGAAATTTTTTGTCTTATTTAGAAATAACTTTAACTACTAATTTCTAAAATCCAAATTTCATACATATTTTGACTAACTAAAACTGTCTATCACTATACTAATTTCTAAAATTCTTATTTTAGAAATATTTTGTCTCATTAAGAGTACTAAGACTGATTTTAACTTTTTAAATTCTATAATTAATAATTTACAGGTGTTTTGAAACATTTTGTCTGACTTAAGATGAGTTTAACTAATTTTTTTAAAATTACGTATGTTTAGAAACATATTGTCTGATAAAAAATGACTTTAAATACTGATTTTAAAATTAAATATGTTTAGAACTGATCTTCAGCGAAAAATAAACTTGTCTGACTAAAAAAATGACTTTAACTACTGATTTTTACAATTGAAACTGGGTTCAACTACTAATTTATTTATTTACAATTGTTTAGAAATGTTTCGTCTTACTAAAACTGGTTTTAACTACTAATTCATAAATTTAATACTGTTTAGAAATATTTTTCCTGACTAAAACTGACTTTCACTACTGTTTTTAAAATTACGTATGTTTAGAAATATATTGTCTGATAAAAAATGACTTTTACTACTGATTTTAAAATTAAATATGTTTAGAACTGTTCTCCAGAGTAAAATAAAATCGTCTGACTAAAAATGACTTTATCTACTGATTTCTACAATTCATATATATAGAAATATTTTGTCTGACTAAAACTGAGTTTAACAACTACTTTTTAAATTTACAAGTGCTTAGAAATATTTTGTCTGACTAAAACTGATATTAACGACTAATTTATGAATTTATAAGTGTTCAGAAATTTTATGTCTATCAAAAACTAATTTTGGTTACTCACTTACAAATTACATACATTTAGAATTGGTCTTCAGAGTCAAAACAATGTCTGACTATAAATGACTTTAACTACTGATTTCTAATATTAATATGATTAGAAATGTTTTGTCTGAGAAAAATTGATTTTATTTTTAACTATTAATTTCTAAAGTTACATATGTTTAGAATCGTTTGTCAGAGTTAAAAAAAAATTATCTCACTTAAAAATTACTATCTACCGATTTCTAATATTCATATTTATTTATAAATATTTTTTCTCACTAAAACTGATTTTAACTACTTATTTATAATTATAAATTTAGAAGTACTAGAAGTGCTTCCTTTGCATCTCTATCCTTTTTTCTAGGAATAGTGTCTTCTTATCGATATTAATTTAACTACCTTCGTATTTAAGAAAAAATATATTATTTTTCTATTGTATGTAAAATAAAAAAACAAAAAAAGGTTAAGAAAAAGGAGAGAGAGAGAGAGAAAGAGAGAGACTGTTAAAAGTGAAGAAAATAGCGTGTAAAGTGAGATTAATGACTAATTTTTCACCTCTTTATATTTCGGCGAACCTCATGTCTCATAAATTGTAATAATTAATTTTAATTAGTCATTGTTGTGGAAAATGAAAAGTTATTTCTTTTTTTCCAGCTTATGGAAACTTGGGAAGTGTTCTCAGTGCACAAGGACGAGTTGCAGAAGCAGAAGAAGCTTTTGTGCAAGCTCTTCGACATCGACCAAATATGGCTGACGTGCACTATAATCTGTAAGTAGTTCTTTCTTATTCCTTTATTTCTTTTTCCCTCTCGTTATATTTGTAATATTTACCTTGCAATCTTGCATATTTAAAAATTGTTTTAAAAAAATTTAAATTGTCAATTAATACCAAAATAGGGATAAATTACAATTTTTTTAATCATCAGAAAATATCAGATAATTTTATTATCAGAATACCTAATGATTTTATCCGCCGTAATTGACGGTAAAAAATTAAAATTGTACGTTTACTCCTATTATTTGGGGTTAGGGTCCGATTACCAATTTACATTCATAATTGCAAAATTCAAAATGGCGGATCCAATATGGCGGATAAGAAATTGTGATTTTCGGGTTTGCTGATTACTAATATAATTCTTAGCGCCAATTTGAATTCAGAAAACGTGAAATAGTTTTATCAAACAATTTTCTTGTTATTTAGTTTTCAATATAATTTTATTTGAAGATTAATAATGTAACTAAACAGGAAAATTTATATTTATAAGATGTAAATACATGAAAGCGCACCTAGAATTTTATCGTTTAGATGAAATATTGAGTAAAATTACAGCATGTAAGGTAGTGTGTTTAAGCTTCTATAGTGCACATGGGTTCTGTGAAGTATGATACTTATGGCTTATGAGACTCGTGACATTTACGACTTGCGTGTCTCTTGATGAAGCCTATAAACCGTATCTAGGCTTCCTTTTGAAGAAGCTTAAACGTAATCCAGTCCCTTTGAGCTTCAGCTGGGATACAATAAAACCAAAACATTGTCTTAGTTGAGAACAAAGTCACTATTAACTCTTCCATTGTCAGGAGTTGAGAAAAGAAACAAATCACACATTCCCATCACTTTTCCCACCATTCACAGAATCATGAAAATAATATTTCCTTTCTGAATAATTTTCTTAATAAACACCTTAAAAAAAACCACACAAACACTAATAAATACTTTTTTCCTTTCGTAAAATATTTAAATAAAAAAAATTTTAAATAAAGAAACTAAAAAATTAGATTTTGACAAAGTTGACTTAAATCTTGAAGTATTGTGTCATTAAAAAAAAAAAAAAAAAGAAAATAACAGTGTATAATAAATTGGGTCATATTTGCTGACTGCTTGCATAAATTTCCCATCAAAACCAGACGATTCATGTTAAATTTGAGGCAAATCGCCGACAGCAATTTACGTCCCCTGTAGTGGACACAAGAATCCTCAAACCCATGACGTATCTTTTGGTTGGTCATAAACGAGCTTGCGGCCAAGCTGGCTATAAAGCGCATTTCACAAAGTGACAGCTGTGTGAAAATTAGTTTCCACCACGATAGCTGGACACAAGAAGGGTGTAAAATACTAAAACAAATAGAATAAAAAAAAAGAGAGAGAGAAACGAGAAAGAGAAATATAAACAAGAGGCGAGCAAAATAATGGTCAGAAAAAAATGATTGAAAGTGATATGGTAACGCTTTACTTTCAGTCATATTCTAATGCGTCTGAAAGTATTCTCCCACTGTATAAACACTGCGCATGCATTTATAAACGTTGTAAAATGGGGAAAAAATAAATAATTTCTACTAAATAGCTAGCATTTTTCTTTGAAACAATATTTGCAAAAAAACCAAGAGTAATTTACTATGAAATAATTCTTACAAATTTCTTACTTCCACCTTTCGCGGAATTATTGTAATTTTCCGTGAAATTTATCATCATTTATTTCGCAAAGCCAATTGTATTTTTTTTCTAAAGTCAGCAATGGCTGTTTCTTCTATTTGTAAATTCAAAGAAGAAATATTATTTTTAGTCATTATCTTATTTTTCAGTCATTTAAAAAAAATACGTAAGAAGAATAATTCGGTTTTAGCCTGAAGAACGTTTTTAAATATATTTAACTTAGAAATTAGTAGTTAAAGTCATTTTTAGTCAGACGAAATATTTTTAAACATTTGTAAATTTCTAATTTAATAGATGAAGACAAATTAAATCAGACAAAATTTTTTTAGCACTTTTACGAATTCATAAATAAGTAATTAAAATCAGTTTTAGTGAGAGAAAATATTTATAAACATAATATGAATATTATAACTCAGTAGATAGTCATTTTTTAGTCAGACAATTTTTTTTTACTCTGACGAACGATTCTAAATAAATTTAACTTTAGAAATTAGAAGTTAAAATCAATTTTTCTCAGAAAAAACATTTCTAAACATATGAATTTTAAAAATCAGTAGTTAAAGTCATTTTTAGTCAGACAATTTTTTTTTATTCTTTTACTCTAGTCAGTAATTAAAAACAGTTTTTGTTTGACAAAATATTTCTAAACACAAATAAATTCATAAATAAGTAGTTAAAATCAGATTTAATCAGACTACATATATTTTTAAACATTTATAAATTTGTAAATTAGTAGTTAAAATAAGTTTTAGTCAGACAAAATATTTCTAAGCACTTGTAAAAATTTTCTAATTTAAATTTTTGTTGAAAACACTAAAAAAAAATTCAATTTTGTCGAAATTGAAAATAATTGCAGAAATTCAATTATTTAAAAAAAAATAAATAAAATTGTTATAAAATTACCATTTTTTAAAATAATTGAAATTTGAGGAAGGATTTTTTTATTTACAAAGATAATAATTGGGTTTTTGTAGAGATTTTTTTGTTAATTTTGAACATAATTTAATTTTGTGATAAGAATTTTATTACTTTTGAAAATAATTGAATTTCTGCAATCATTTGTAGGTTTCTTCAAAATTCAATTTTTAGTGTTTTTAACTAAAATTCTTCTATAAATCCATTATTTTTAAATTTTTAATAAAATTAATTAAATACCTTGACAAATTTAACAAATTTCTAATTCTATTATTTATTTCCCAGTGAAACTAATCTTAATGAATAATTGTATTTATTAGTTATATTGTAATCGCAACTCTATTAAAATTAAATTAATTTTCAAATACTTGAGTGAAATTATTCATTAAATAATTTATTTATTTTATGATAGTTGTTCAAGATTTAAATTATATAAAAAAAGTTTTTGTCAGAAATTGAAAAAGTTGAATGTTTTGTTTTAGAATACGTGGTAATTTTACAGTTTATGAGTAAAAAAAACACACAAAAATTCAAAATTTTCTTATGAATTCTATAAACTTAATTTTTTTTAGTACAACAAATTATAAAAAATATTAATATAAAACATTAGGAAATCGATTACTTTGACTCGAAATGATCGATATCTTTATATTTTCTAGTAATTAAATTCATTTTAAAACAATTTTTATTCGAAAATTCTACGGGAATTCAATTATTTAATTTTAAATACAAAACTAAATAATTTATAAAGTAGTAGTTACAAACAGTTTTAGTCATCGAATCATTTATAAACATATTAATTTTAGAAATCGGTAGGTTAAAGTTATTTTAATCAGACAAAATTTGTTTTACTCTGACGAACGACTCTAAACACATGTAAACTTATAAATTAAAAATAAATTCTGCGATGAGTTTTATTATTTATGAAAATAATTGTATCCCTGTAAAAATTTTTTTTAATTACTAAAATAATTGAATTATTGCGAAGAAATGTATAAAAAATTTGAGAATAATTGAATTACTAAGTTTATTATTTAGAAAAATTGAAATTAAAAATTTGCGTAGAATTTTATTAAAATTTTTTTTTTAACAATTCAATTCTTTTGGAAAATTTTTGAAAATAATTATGAAGATAATTTAATTTCAGAGAAGAATTTTATTATTCATAAAGATAATTTAAATTTTGACAAGAATTTTTTTAAATTTAGAAAAATAATTGAATTCCTGCGAAAAATGTCGTTACTTTTGAAAACAATTGAATTTCTGCAATTATTTTCTAACATCTCCAATATTCAATTTTTTTTTTTTAGTAATTTCGTAGTTTATGAAGCAAACAGAAGACAAACAAAATTCAGAATTTTCTTATGAATTCTAAAAATTTAATTTTTCCAGTACTTTTAATAAGAATCGCTGACTTTTTCCTGAACTCCTTGTCTGAGAATATATTCTCAGAATATATGATTATTATAGTTATTATTATAACTATAATATTTTTTGTAAAATTACAAATTTTATTAGGAAAAAAAAATTTAACTTAAAAATGTTTAAATTCCATTATTTTTAAAATTTCTAATTTTATTGAAAAAAGTAAGTATAAGAAGCTAGTCGCGAGCGCATTGTTGCTAGTTTGTGGATTAAAGAGATGTCAACCGTATATTCAATTTTTTGAAATTGAGACACGAATTTTTCATTTTTACAAAGAGGTTTGAGAGCGCCCCCGTCATTTCGAGTATAGGGGAGAGGCAGGCATGACAAAATTCCCTTCTCTGCATCCAGGGCAAGGATTAGGTTGATTCATTGCTGTATCGCATGCAAGGCACAAAAATTCCCCTCATAAATTCCAATAAACTTCCCGACGTGACAATCCGTTTAGAGATAACTGCGGTCGCGGTTTTTGTTAGTGAGTGGACTTTTTTATCTGACGGTGGTATTAACTTCCAGGTCGAGTAGGTTGGAGGTAGAAAAAAAGTGGATGGAGATGAAGATAGGAAGAATAGTAGATGGGATTTCGATTTTTTAAACTTCTTTTTTTCTTTTTATTTTTTTTTACTTTTTCCGCATAAAAGGGATCTTTTTCAAAAGTGCAATTTAGTGGAACCTGTTTCATTGAAAAAAAAACATGTAAATTTTTTATTTTTCTCCATGACTTTCTCAAATTTACACGTTTATTGTATAAGAAAAATGATTTATTCACTCTTCTTTAAAAAAATATATATCAAAAAATGTAATAACATAATTTTATAAATGATAGATTTCGACACACTTGAGTCACAAAAAATAATATATATTTACAGATTTATTGTCTGAAGGGAAAAATTTATTGTGCTCTCCTATCTAAAGAGAGAATATGAGATAAACTGTTTCTTTCAATTGATTTATGGATTTTCTCGCTATTGAAGCATCTCTTTATAGGATTTGCTTCT